GTTCTACCGTATGCGAACTCCTATAATTAGTGAGGATACTCGCGAGCTCAGCTGAGGGAAGCGAACGTACATTCCAAGACTGGTCCTCAGCAAATGAGCCCTCGTACGCTGATCGACACTCTCTGCCTTTTCGAAGTGCTCAACATACGCCCTAAAGCCCTCTATGTAGACGTCATGCATCAGCTAGTCAGACAGGTCACTGCTATGTAAGTCTCGGTGACCAGCCCATGTAGATAGAACCGATTTCAGGTATCCTGATGAGCTCACTGCCCTCCTAGTTACCATGGCCCGCATAGGTCTATCATCACCAGCTATGTTGGATAGAATAGCAGCAGCGATACAACATTCGCAACTTCAGAACATTCGGTATCACCACTAGCAGTTGCGTATTAGCATCCAGAATTGCAATATGTGTTCCTTTTCCTCAGCTGAGCTCAGGAATTTTCTCGCCAATTAAAGGATTTCATATACGACTTTAGTTAAAAATGTACTGAAGGCAGAGAAAGAAAATCCACAAAATTTCCTCAGAATTATCATATGGTTGATCGAGTACAAATTTTACCCCACTGCTAATAGCATCATTCCTCTCGATAGATACCTCCACGGTTGCGAACTTGCCGGAGCTATGGCCGCTCTTGGGTATGACAACTCGCCCTTTTTCACTGCATTAGACAATCGTATGGAAATGTGTGCTGAGATGATGCCTGTCGAAGAAGTATGGGATACCGTCAAGTAGGGTAATGTGGATTATATAAATCTAAACGGGCAATGTAGGTATCTGCCCTCACTACAGTATTCTTGGAAACCTTACGAGAGAGCAATATGGGAAGAACTCACCAGAAGGACTAACAAGGTGAGCTTGTGAGCTACTAGTCGTTGAGGTTTTATACCTCTACTCAGTTTTATAATGAGTTACACGTTGACGAGATGTCCGATCCAGTCGGATTTATGCAGTTCCTCCGTCTACACAAACGCCTCGATAAGTGAGACCGTGTCGCTTTTGCGGAGTCATTTCCTATTCTATCAGGCGGTTCATGAGCGCAATGGCCGCCTGGGCTCGCGTAGCTGTGTATCGTCCCACGTCCAGGACGTCAAGACGGCCCACAGCACGTGAGCTGGCTCTCATTGTTGACTACTGTCAAGAGTAATAACGCATCAGTCGAGGAAAGGAGTTCCATTAGTGATCGTAGGTATGGTGTTGGCACCGATGATACGGACAATAAACATGTTCTTCATAAGGCAGTGCGCACCTTTGTGGGCAGTAGAGGTGAGGATGGAAGTGGCATCTTTTGTGATACCGAGTATGTGCAGGTGGCCAACAGGAAACTAAACTGAATAGACGTCCATTGCTATACATGCGTAGAAGGCGATATGTTCGGGCGGAAGATCCGTGAGAATACCCATTGGAATTGTTCGAAAATCGATTATCATACCACATCTTAGATACATCAAGGCCAACTTGCGACCACTCGCGATTCGCCGACCCCTGCGTAATGGTGGTGTATGGAAGAGCAGTCGTGAGGCGCAAATTAGCACGGCCGAGGGAGGAGCACGGAAAGCGATGTGGAATTATTGGTTGCTACCGAAGATATATCAAATGTGAAGACTTATGCTCTCTCCACATCATGCTCACGTTCTGCTTGTTTCCGTTATCATGCCAACTTTCTAGTTAATCGTGGGAGGAAGCGGCGTGGGATATCATTCCCAAAATTTCCTGTGCTCATCGGCTCAGTCCTAGCAGTTCTGATCGATGATGTAGAGACTCTGAGAGGTCCACCAGACAGGATACATGCGGCTTTCAATGTCCCCTATGGCGTGCCCGAGTTCACCCGTGTTGCCGCATATTATCCACGCGTGGGTGTTGGAATATTAGCCAGCTTCCTTTTTGAGAACCAGAGCCGGAGTTCTTACCAAAGACCATTCTGTTTCGTGCATATGGCTGATGATCGGTGGCATGTCAAAATTCTTGGTTATGTGCACGTTCGTTGTTTCCTTTGAACTGCAAACGCTCAACCTCTAGCACTGTGACACTGATATGATCTGGTGAAGCTCAGCATGCTTCTTTATGCATTAGAATCGTGAGTTACGTAGTTAGTTGCGTCGCACATCAGATCCGTGAGTGTAGAAGATTCCAAAGATAGCAGCTCCTTGTTTCGATCAAGGGACCTTTGGGTTATGAGCCCAACACGCTATCCACTGCGCCAAGCTGCTTACATGTATATAATCATTTCATTCGGCCTCACTTGCCATTTTTGGTACATTTCAAGTATTGCTGTGACAAACTCTTGATGTAATCTGATGAGATTCTGCATAGGTTTGATGTTTTGGAATTGAAAGATACGTTGTGAGAACCGAGGTTGGATCAAGTCTCAGATAGATAAGAAAGTCTGTAAGTGAGAATTCTGAAAAGTAGCAGCTCCTTATTTCAATCTAGGGACCTTTGGGTTATGAGCCCAACACGCTATCCACTGCGCCAAGCTGCTTACATGTATATAATCATTTCATTCGGCCTCACTTGGCATTTTTGGTACATTTCAAATATTGCTGTGACAAACTTTTGATGTAATCTGATGAGATTTTGCATAGGTTTGATGTTTTGGAATTGAAAGGTACTTTGTGAGGACCGAGGTTGGATCAGGTCTCAGATAGATAAGTCTGTAAGTGAGAATTCCGAAAAGTAGCAAATCCTTGTTTCGATCAAGGGACCTTTGGGTTATGAGCCCAACACGCTATCCACTACACCAAGCTACTTATATACATTATCATTTCATTCGTCTTCACTTGACATTTTTGGTACTTTTCAAGTATTGCTGTGACAAACTCTTGATGTAATCTGATGAGATTCTGCATAGGTTTGATGTTTTGGAATTGAAAGGTACGTTGTGAGAACCGAGGTTGGATCAAGGCTCAGATAGATAAGTCTGTAAGTGAGAATTTCGAAAAGTAGTAGCTCCTGGTTTCGATCGAGGGAGCCCAACACGCTATCCACTGCACCAAGCTGCTTGCATGTATATTGTTACCTGGTATCCTGGTTGAACCTGGTATTTCAGGTATGTTTAAATTTTTTCACTGTAAATGTTTAACCTGGTTGCCTCAAAATTCCGATGTGTCTAGCAGTCTCAAGTATCAATCCTGGATCCCTAGGTACAGAGCTCAATACACCCTCTACTACACCAAGCTGTTCGGAAGGAAAGAATTTCGGTCGCAGTTCAACACATCTGTGCACATTCGAAGTTGTCTTCCAGCTTCAGGCGTTCGACCCGCATCACGTGCAACTTCGTTGATAGATTATTCAATATGAGATATGATTGCTCGATTAAGACAGACTAGGATTTCCAGTCCCTGATGATAAGCACTGTATCAACACACTCCCCAGATTGAGTGTGGCGACCTGGGTGGGATTTTGGGAATTGCCTAGATTGATCTCACGTATGTATGCCTACCCCCGTACGATTGATAATGATGAACGCAGTACTCCAGCCGATGACAGAAAGCTAGAAGCAACAATAGCATAAATGTTTAAGCTTCCATAGCCGTCTGGATTTCCTCCCAAACCTAGGATTGGATAGAATAAGACAGTCGTATTAACAAAAAGTATCTGAAGTACCTTCTCCATGCCCTGGTTGGCGTCCACATGCTTGACTACGTTAGTCGGGGCGTAGTGAGCTACGATCGGTTCAGTTTGAGAATGATAAGCGGATAATCTGACAAATAATTGGGTTACCGACGTCTTCCACAGATGTGCTAAAGTAGAGGAACACAGCATGATGAAACTACCTAGTCTTGAGTGCCTCAGCGGTATCATCAGGACGCTGTATGAGAGGCTCGCCGGTCACGTCATCGAGCATGTTGGTGGCGTCAGGGCTGGCACCAGCAGGGAGAGACTTCGGAGGGTTGAACCTGTTGAACAATGATAATACAACAACGTATGAAACTATTCAACGAGTTTTATTCCACATAAACCCACGCACTTGACATGATAGGAACGTCCACTAGGCTTGTGTATCCATCGACCGCAGATCCTCTCCTCGAGCACCGAGTCGGGCAAATCGAGAACGATCACCTGAATCACGACGGGAGTTCGGTAGTAAGCTCTTTGACGAGATTTCCTCCCAAAATAACACTTGTGTGGAGATACTACCTTAGAAACACGCTCCTCGTTCTCGGCGAGCATAGCGTCGAGAGCGGTAGCTTGTTCGACAGTTCGCGGGAAACCATCAAGGATGAAACCCCAACCAGCATCCATCTCCTGGATCCTGAAGAAGACATATGTGCATGAACTAATGGAGAGAAACAGGTAAATGTTTCACAAAAATATTACCTGTCCTTGATGATTCCAATGACGATCTCATCACTGACGAGCTCGCCACGTGCCATCACATCCTTGGCCTTAAGTCCGATAGGAGTCTCAGCCGCAACGGCAGCTCGGAGCATGTCACCGGTAGAAAGCTGGGGAATCTTGTAAGCTGAACATCACAACCGGAGTTCAACGAGTGACATGAGCACTGACCCAACAACAAGAATCTATGTATTACTTTCCTCCATCTTGGGGCCTTGAGTGCCCTTGCCGGCACCAGGAGGTCCAAAAAGAATGACAATCTTCCTCCATTGCTTCGGGGGCTGTTCAGAACCGCGGAGACTGGAAGACATATCTATCGATCGATACGAAGAAAACTAAATACCGACTCATACGTTATTGACCTCCTCTCACAGCATCGATAATTCCAATCAGATCGCACTATCTCACATTCAGGCACTTTGTAACAATCGCTAGTGAACTATCAAGTGCGAGATCGAGCCCAGTCCTTCCTCATCCTGCAGTAGTCTGACGTACTAGAAAAGACTGGACTTGTCGACAATTGACTCAACTTGAAAAACTTGCATAAACTTGGTAAAGCCTTCTTGACATTAGCCAGCATCATCTCATCGTGGAAGAGTGTTGTTGTGTGTTTGTCTATTTCGCTATGATCTCAATAGTTACAAGGCGTGCGCGATGGTTCCCTGTCGTGCGCCCTCGATGAGCGCATGAATTTTTTCGCTCGCACACAATGGTGTAGAACTCGTCTGGGATCCCTTTTCGTCATGATCAATA